ATTGTTGTTTGGCGGGTCCGGGCTGGGGATTCGAACCCACCACCTTAGGTGTACGTGGCTGGCGCCTTAGCTGGTTGAGCTATAGGCGCCGAGCCCTCTCCACTTATTTAAGGCTCGCTTAACATCCCTCAGAGTTTTATGACACACTCTGAAAGGTCTTTGGATTTATACTATTCTTATGCTGTTGTGTGAGAGCATATTTGCCCCTTATACTATTTATGCCTCATTTTTATTTCTTGTCTTACTGAGCCAACTAAGAACTCAGTTAAATAGAACTGATGGTGTAGAAGGCACCCTGGCTTTATTCCTGATCTCAAGAAGAATGTTTTCTAAATTTTACCATTAAGTACAATGTGTTTTTGTTTTTATTTTTTGAGACAGTCTCATTCTCACCTGGGCTATGGTGCAATAGTGTCAGACTTGCTCACAGCAACCTCAAATTCAGACATAGAAGCGATCCTCCTGGCTCAGCCTCCCAAGCAGCTGGGATTATAAGGCACCAACCACAACACCTGGCTAGTTTTTCTATTTTTAGTTGAGACAGGGTCTCACTCTTGCTCAGGCTGCTCTGGAACTCCTGGGCTCAAGTGATCCTCCTGCCTTGGCCTCCCAGAGTGGGAGGATTAAAGGCATGAGCCACTGCATCTGGCCATGTGTGGGTTTTTAGTAAATATCTCTTAACAGCTAGGTAAGTCCCCTTATGTTCTTAGCCTGCATAGAATGGTTTTAAAATCCTGAATAGATGTTGAATTTTGTCATATGCTTTTTCTGCATTTATTGAGATAAACAGATTAAAAGAAAAAAAAATAAGCAGTAAATTTAATTACATTTTCTAATGTTACATAATCTTGTATTCCTTTGGTAAAGTCAACTTGTTTAAGGTGTATTAGCCTTTTAAAATAGTATTATATTTTATTTGGTGATATTATTTAGGATTTTTAAATCATGATTCATGAGGAAAAAATCTATAGAAAATCATTCTTGGCTCGGTGCCTGTAGCACAGTGGTTACAGCACCAGCCACATACATCAAGGCTGGCAGGTTTGAATCTGGCCTGGACCAGCTAAACAATAACGTCAACTACAATCAAGAAATAGCTGGGCATTATGGCAGGTGCCTATAGTCCTAGCTACTTGGAGGCTGAGGCAAGAGAATCACTTAAGCCCAAGAGGTGGAGGTTGCTGTGAGCTGTGACCCCACAGTACTCTACTGAGGGCAACATAGTGAGACTCTGTCTCAAAAAAAAAGTCATTCTTTTACTGCCCTACTTGAGGTTTTGTATCAAGAATAAACTAGTTACATTAAATGAGTTGGAAAGTGCTTCTTCTTTTTCTTTTCTGGAAAAGTTTTAGTTATTTTATAACTATTCCTTCCTTGAAGTTTAGTAGAACTTAATTGTGAAGCTGTCTGGGCCTGCAGATTGGTTTTATGTGTGTATATGTTGGGAAAGAAACTTTTTACCAATGATTCAATTTCTTTGCATTTTCCCTCCTACCTCTGTTCGTCCTGTCTCCCTCTCTCTTGATCATTCTTATCAAAGGTTTGTCAATTGTATTCATCTTTTCTAAGAAACAAACTTTTGGCTTTGTTGATGCTAGTATATTCATGATTTTCTCTTCTGTTTAGTTGGTTCTCTGGTATTTCCTTCATTATATTTGGGCTGTTTTTCTTTCTTTCCTTCACTCCCTTCTCCTTCCTTCCTTCTTTCCTCCCTCCCTCACTGTCACCCTGAGTTAAGTGCCTTGGTGTCACTGTAGCTCCCTGCAACCTCACACTCCTGGGCTCAAGCAATTATCCTGCCTCAGCCTCCCAAATAGCTGAGACTACAGCCATGCACCACCACACATGACTAATTTTTTCTATTTTTGGTAGCGACAGGGTCTTGCTATAGCTGGGGCTGGTCTGGAACTCCTGGCCTCAGGCCATCCTTCTGCCTTAGTGGGATTGCAGATGGGCACCCTTGTATGCAGTTTTTGGCTGGGGCCAGGTTTAAACCTGCTACCTCCAGTACATGGGGTCAGTGTCCTACTCCTTTGAGCCACAGGTACTGCCCAGAATTTTTATTTTTTTTAATATTTAAGTTTTGGTCTCCTATTTATTATTTTATTTTTTCTTTTTGGAGACAAGAGTCTCACCTTGTCCGCTCCCTCCCTCTTCCCGCCCCCCCCCAAGCCCAGGGTGATTGCCATGGAATTGTATCTCACAACAACCTCAAACTCCTGGGCTCAAGCAATTCTCTTGCCCATCCTCCCAAGTAGCTGGAACTATAGGCACCTGCCACAATGCCTGGCTATTTTTAGAGACAGGATCTCACTCTGACTCAACCAGGTCTCAAACCTGTGAGCTCAGACAGTCCATCTGCCTCAGCCCCACAGAGTGCTGCGATTATAGGTGTGAGCCACCTTGCCCAATTTTGAGTTAATTTTTATATATGGTGTTACGTAAGGGTCCAACTTAACTTTTTTGCAATTGGATATCCAGTTGCCCCAGACTCATTTGTTGAAAATACTGTTCTTTCCTCCACTGACTTGTCTTGGAAACCTTGATGAATATCATTTGACCATATATGAGGACTTCTTCCTGGACCGGATCCATCACTCATGTTCATGAATGAGTGCTTTGAGTCATGAATTCCAGGATTGTGGCGGGGCCAGCATGCTGTTGGCTCGCTCAGACACAGTCTGGTTGGCACTTTTTCTTTCATGTTTCCCAGAGCCAAACATGGTTTGAGAAATAATTGATCAAATATTTTTCTCAAGTTATTTGTATTGTAAAACAAGCTTATTTGCCACTTGTAGCTAAATGTAGGATGGTCAAACAGCAACTCGGTATTAGTGTTCTTTTTGTGACTAATTAACATTGAAGAGTCAGAGCTTTAACTTCTACTTCCTTCCCCATTCTTAAGAACGCGGCCCCCTACACATGCCTTCACACTGTGTCTCGTCCTCTCTGTAACCCTCGACTGTGTCTGGTCAACAGGTGGTGACATTCTTCTCTCATCCCAGCTGTGTGGACAGTGCCACACGCCCTCCTGAACAACAACGGCTCTTGCATGCATTTTCCAGTGTTTCTTTTGTCAGAGAGCCCAGCAGAGCCAAGGGTCTTCCAGAGCCAGCCCGGAGCTGAGTGAGGAGTGCCCAGCAGAGATGGTGAAAATGACAAAATCCAAAACTTTCCAAGCTTACCTGCCGAACTGTCACCGAACGTACAGCTGTATCCACTGTAGAGCCCACCTGGCCAACCATGATGAGCTCATCTCCAAGGCAAGTGGCTTATGTCAAAAGAATTGATGTAGGTCTTGCTCATCTCTTCTCCTCTATGAGAGGGACCTACTTCCAACTCTCTTTGGAAGTGCTCTAAACTTTCTCTTCCTTCTTCCTAAATAAAATCTCTCGTTACACACCCACACTGAAGTAGCACAATGATTGCCTATCATCGTGGTACCTACTTAGCAGACAAATACTAACCATCACATGCCCTCCTAAATTTGCTGTGCCCTAAAAGTCTAGAAGCTCATGGCACCATTGGCGACAATGGTGTGCATGATTCCACATGGCCACACCACCATCCTGGGCATGATCTGGGCACGGGGAGTGATTTTGGAGGCCAGCCTCCAGACTCCCAAGGACTCTGAGGAGCAGGATAGGACCGTTACTTCTCAGAGCAACAGTTCACGTAAAGTCAGTGTGGACTGAAGGAGCAAACGAAGTCTAGGAAATCTGTAGAAATAGCTTAATAATAAGGGAGTTAAGACATTTATAAAACTCAGAGTGGCTAAAAAAAGGATAGGGGCTGCTCAGGAAAAGGTCCAGGAGGATGGGCTTCATGCGAGGGACCCACAGGCAGCCCTGGGATATGACGAGGACGCCCCGGCCTCCCCACCGCTCAGCTCTGTATCACAGCGTGTGACGAATCTGCTCAACCCCGGAGAACACTAAGTAGGTATCAAATGAGATAACACTCCCTCAGGAAATGACAGTCCTCTCTTACCTGTCCTCACAGGACATGACCCCTGACCTGCACTGAGCAAGGGCATGACCTCCGCCCATCTTCAGCAGACTCATGACCCCCCCCCACTCTCCTCCTGAGTAGCCTGACCCTCAGGCTGCTCTGAAAGGAATACGTGCCTTTCAGGAGTCTCTTCTTAGATTTCTGGTTTAAGTCAATTAGAAGAACATTTTATCTGCTTATATTTTCACTAGGTAATAATGAGAGATTGTCTCGTTTCTGTCCATCATCTGAAATAAAAACTGTTAAGCAAAGCCTGTGTCTCCTCTGTCCATTCCGAAGGTTCAGGTAAGAAGTGAAAGCTCCTCGCACCTTGTTGTCCTGGTGTGTTTCCTGAGGCAGCTTCAGTTCGAGACAACGTTGTGAGTTAATGAAAGGCAGTGTGTGGCTTGGTGATGTCACTGAGCCTTTGACCCCTGTGCACTGGCCAAGACCTCTCACCTCCACAACTGGTCAGTGTCAGGCACCACATAGGGTTTTTATTTTGTTTCTTTAAGAGATAAGATCTTGCTCTGTTGCTCAGGCCAGAATGCAGTGGTGGCCATAGTTCACTGTAGTGTGGGACTTAGGCTCAAGCCGTCCTCCTGCTTTGGCCTCCTGAGTAGCTGGGACTGGAGGCACATGCCACCATGCCTGGCAGATTTGTAAATTGTTTTAAAGACAAGGTCTCACTGTGTAGGCCAGGCAGGTTTGGAACCCTGGGGCTCAAGTAATCCTTCTGCCTGAGCCTTCAAAGTCCTGGGATTTCAGGCATGAGCCTTCGCGCCTGGCCAGTCTTTTTTATAAAGCATGACAATGTATTGTCATTAAGGGGCTCGGAAGGGATGCGAGAAGGACCCTGAAGCATGGAACTGATACAAGAATTAATTACATCAGTGGCTCACCCTGTAATCCCAGCACTCAGAGAGGCCGAGGCAGGTGGATTGCCTGAGCTCAGGAGTTCAAGACCAACCTGAGCAAGAGTGAGACCCCATCTGTACTAAAAAAAAAAACTAGGCGCCTGTACTCCCAGCTACTCTGGAGGCTGAGTCAAGAGAATTGCTGAGGCCAACAGTTTGGAGTTGCTGTGACACCACAACACTCTACCCAGGGGGATGGAGTGAGATTCTGTCTCAGAAAAAGGATTACATGAAGAGCAGGAGCATACTGGGTAGTCAGTGGAAACCATGATCAGTGAGGACATTAATTGATTATTTCAGGATGAAACAATGCCAAGAACTGAGTTCTCCAGGCACACAGCTGCTGAGAGGTGTCAGACGTGCATCTCAGCTGGCGATGAAAGTGATGCACAGCGTAAACCCCACCTCTCCCCGCAATTACAGATAAAGGAGTTTACTGAAACTGGAAAGAACACTTACTATGTGGAACAGATTCTGGTACATCTGAGGCTGGAGCCACTGATGGCCTCTAGATCCTTCTTTGTCACTAACAAGTAATCCCCTGACTCACACGAGCCTGTTCTTCTCATACAGCTCTGATTGCTAGAAGGCTCCATCTGTGATCTGCAGGCTAGATCTGCCATGCCACCTGTTTCTATAAAGCTTTATTGGATCATAGCTGTGCTGATCTGTTTACAGAAGGGCTGAAACATACAGCCTGGGAAGCCTAAACTGTTTACCTCCTGCCCTAATTTACAGATGAATTTTGTGGACCCCATACTCGTCAGAGTAAACTCTGAATCACAGAGCTGGCCCTATCTCTAGTACAAACCCTGTTTAAAAAATAAGGACTTTCCCCACTTGCTAAAAGTGTCTTTTAAAAAAGGGCTTTTTTAGGTTGAGCATGGTGGCTCATGCCTGTAATCCCAGCACTCTGGAAGGCTGAGGTGGGTAGATTGCTTGAGCTCACAAGTTTGAGACCAGCCTGTGCAAAAGCGAGACCCCATCCCTACTGAAAATAGAAAAACTGAGGCAAGAGGATCGCTTGAGCCTAAGAGTTTGAGGTTGCTGCGATGCCAAGACAATCTGTCTAAAAAAAAAAAAAAAAATGTATGTATAGACTTTCCCCACTTGCCAAAAATATCTAAAAACATTAAAGGCTTTTGGGATGAGCCTGGTGGCCCACGCCTGTAATTCTAGTACTCTGGGAGCCAAAGGCAAGGATTGCTTGAGCTCAGGAATTTGGGTCCAGCCTGAGCAAAAGCAAGATCCCTTCTGTACCAAAAGAATTAGAAAAATTAGCCAGGTGTGGTAGTGTGAATCTGTAGTCTCAGCTATTTGGGAGGCTGAAGCAAGAAAGTCACTTAAGCCCAGGAGTTTGAGATTGCAATGAGCTATAATGACACCACTGTGCCCAATCTAGGGGAACAGAGTGAGATTCTATCTCATAAATAAATAAGGACTTTTAGAATAGGTAAGAGCAGTAGGATAGTCAGACCAGAATATTGAAAGCTAATAAGGATGTGTGAAAAGTCTAATTTAATGTAGGATAATTTTTTTAAGAGTCTCATTTTTATCGCCCTCAATAGAGAGCTGTGGTGTCACAGCTCACAGCAACCTCCAGCTCTTGGGCTTAGGCGATTCTCTTGCCTCAGCCTCCTGAGTAGTTAGGACTACAGGCACCTGCCACAACGCCCAGCTATTTTTTGTTGCAGTTGGGCTGGGCCTGGGTTCAAACCCACCATCCTCAGCATATTGGGGCCTGCGTCCTACCCACTGAGCCACAGACACCGCCCAAGGATAATATTCTTAATCCTAGAAAACCACTTAAGAGAATACTTCTCTTTAATTCTGAAAGCTGGATTTTAAAACCAAAACACATACAGTAGTACCAGCTGGATTTTAAAAACCCAGGAAAAGATAAAATCAAAACTTGGCTAGCATCAGGCTAGGTAGAAGAGAATCTCCTGCATCTCAATGGCTTAAAGCAAAGGTCTATTTCAGGCAAAGGTAAGAGATCTGTCAGTGGTTGTCTAGGGGCTCTGCTTTTTTTTAATTATAAAGGAAATTGCAGAATCACCCATTACATGATGTATATGTATAAAATAACATAAGAATTGCTTCTTCCCCCTGCCTGGTCTAGCTCCATTCCTCAGAATTATCACTGAGAGTACTTTGGCATCTGTCTGTTGTTTTTGTTTTATCTATAGAAACATTTTTCACTTTAAACAAGGGGCTCGCCTGATACCCATTTTCCAGCTCACTTTTCTTCACTTAATATCTGATGGCTATCTTTCCCTGAGCACTCCTGCAGGCCTGTCCCCAGCACCTGCATGAACCCCAAACATGGGGACAGTTGGCTTGTTAAGCTGTGAGCGCTGTGGTGGTGGCCATTCCAGTCCATTTCCTGACTTGCTCAAGCTGCTTTGTTTATGGTACATTCTCAAAGACCACTGGTTTGCACAGTGTGTGCCTTTCACATTGGGATATTATCAAATTGTGTTCCAGTCAACATT